CTCGAGCTTAGAAGTACCGCTGCTGCGTTATGCGTCGTCGTCGACGATGGATGCTGCCGCGGTGGGTGCTGCTGCTGCTGCGGCCGCCTTGCTCAACGTGTCCTTTCCCAGCGATGCCAGATTACTCTAGCAATGCCGCAGTGATGAACGCCGCCATTGCAGCAGCCCACTGCTGCGGCGTCTGCTGCTGTGGCGTCGGCGACCGCACCGTCAACAACAACATCGTCGTCTGTGCTGCCGCGGGAGAATGCCGCTGCTGGGCTTGCGCAAACACATACATACTTGAACGAGTATCAGCTGATGCAACTCCAACTCCAACAGCAGCTGCAGTACCAACAACAGCAACACCACCACCCGTCGCACCCGTCGCACCCGTCGCATCAGCAGACACATCAGGAAGCGGTCATTGCAGCTCTGCAGGACCGCTACCAACGGCAGCTGCTTCTTGTTCAACAGCAACAGCAGGCATCTTCGGAAAGCGGCGAACGGTTGTCTCGGATGAGCTCTGAGGATGCTCCAACGCACATGATGGACACGTCGAGCGATGCAGCGGCGCACTCTGACTATCAGGCACTGTCGTATGCGCAGCAACAACTACAGCAACAGCAACACCAGCATAAACAGCAGCTGTTGATGCAGCAAGCGCAACAGCAGCTGCCACGCATGTACATTGACGATCCGGTGCTCGATCCGAACGCGCTGGCAGAGGCAAACCGGAACGCCATTGCACCACCAAGCCTGGCAATTTCACAGCTGGCGTCGGAATCTCAAGATGCCCTGATTGAGATGCTGAGCAACCTGCTCGACCAGCTCATCTCCCGGAACGACCCGTTGCCCGTGGCCAAGCTGACCCATTTCCACGCAAAGTCGCCGCCGCAAATCAATATTCAGTTGTATTTGCAGCGCTTTGCCAAGTACGCTCCGGTGGGCAACGAATGCTTTGTCCTCTTGCTCGTCTATCTCGACCGGCTGGTGCAACGCACCGGCTCCATTATTACCTCGCTCAACATCCACCGCTTGCTCCTCACGGCCATACTCATTGCGTCCAAATTCTGCCAGGACAAGTACTACACCAACCGGCACTTTTCCAAGGTCGGCGGCCTGCCTCTCAACGAGCTGAACATGCTGGAGCTCGAGTTTCTAACTCACCTCGATTTCGACCTCAACACGTCGCTGGACTGGCTGGAAAAGTACTATGTTCAACTGCGCACACACTTTCAACGCAAGCACGGGGCACCCAGTCAAACTTTACCGCCAGCAGCAGCTGCTGCTGCATCGGCTGCCTACTCGACAAATGGACAGTATCCGACCGGCAATGCAACGATTGAGGCTTCTGCCGCCGCTCCATGAGATGACAGCCTCGGGTGCGGAAATGTACAGGCGATGTGGTTTTGCTTGTTTTTGAAACCGTGTCCAACAGCATTCCGCGACTCTGGTGCTCACGTTGAACTTTTTCCCAGTTAATTATTTATCGTCCCTTGATGTTTGCGAGGTCTCGAGTTGTTGTGTACCATAAAGCCAATTTCACTCTTCGTTTTGTGCTCTTGTCTGTGTATGTGTGTGTGTGTGTGTGTGGTGTTTGTGTCAAGCCAAGATGCACAAACAACAGCAAACAAAAAAAAAACAAGCAGAACCAAACGAAAAAGATAAAAGATTGTATTTCTATGTTACAGCGGGGGCGGGGAGGAGGAGGAGGAAATAATGATTGAAATCAAACACAGCATACCAGTTCAACACATCATCCGACTTTCACGATGGAACGATCCTCGATTTGAAGCATTCGTTTCAAAAACTCGTAGGTTGTGAACGACACTGCCGCTTGCGGCACAACGCGCATGTAATTTAGGCTCATTCCGCGGTACCAGCCACGGAAAAAGCCATCGTGGCGCAGAATATAGACTAGCGTGCGGATTGTACTTGTTGCTTGGCCCTGTGCAAAGCCAAGGACGAAGAGAGTGGTGAGAACTCTGTTCCAAATACGCCAAAGCCAAAAACCGCCTTCCCCTAGCCTCCTTTGCTTACGTCCGGCAAACCACGATTGAGTTGCATGCGTCGTCGAACAACATCAAACGGATAGGCAAACGTTTGGGCGACACCTCCGGCTATTCCACCGCAAAGCAAATTGGTCGTGTAGGTCAGCTCGCGCAGCGTGGGGTCGGGCGCGGTGCCGTCTCGTTTGTGGACGGGTTTGGTTGTAATTGACGTCATGTTTTCGAGGAAAAACGCCTTGAGGGTCTCGTTTGTGAAGAACGACAAGCCAGCGTACGGAATCATGCCATAAATCGTTGGGCGGAAGCCACTGAACATTGCACGCAAGCCGCCCTCCTGCGCAGTCGCATCGGAAGATTGCACAACAAACAGGTACGGGATGAGCTTGCAGTCCTGGCAACCACTCAGCCGAGCAGCAACGAAACAGTGATGCAGCCAAAGTCGGACGTTTTACCTCGGCGTAAATCGTGCGGAAAGCGTGGGCAATGCCCGTGTACCGATTTTCAGACACCTGGAAGGCCAATCTTGCACGAACCAGATCCAGAGGGTATGTAAAGGTCACGCATGTGACACCTGTGATGAAAACGTCGAAACAGAGCGGTTGTTACAATTCAATCAGTTGATGGCGTTTTGAAGCGGGTCGCAACAAAATCATCCGTGAAGGAACCAAGCTGTACCTGCAAGCGAGCCAGCAAGCAATCGATGCACTGGCGACTCTCGTCCATTGAAATAACTCTTAAGGAGCTGAAGTAACAAAAAGTCACAAGTGAGAAGCCGCCAAGAACGAAAAAAAAAAAACCATCACAAAAATATAATAAAATCGCCAACGAACAGGTGGAATGGCGAGACACTCATCCATCAGCCATCACGAGATCAAACAAACTACCTCACCTTCTTGTACTGTTCATAACTCATGAACTGGATGGCAGCATAGGGAAAGATGCGAGCCATCATTGCACCGTTGCCCTTGTAGTAGCCCAGCAGACCTTCCTTCTGACCGATCGCGCGCAGTCCCTGGAAGACGCCTGTCACAAAATTTACAAATGGTGAGATGATACTGTCAAGTTTGGGTTTGTTTGGGAATGCGAGCGAGCACAGTGTGCACAGTGCACAGTAGGGAGCCAAGAGATCCATCCACTCAGGGGTGACGCAAGTGTTTAGCCCATGGCGCATTCTCCACCGATCATAGCCATGCTGAGTATGACACTGTGCTTGGATCGATCGTGTCTCCATCCGCCCGCATCAGCCGAGCTGGGAGACCAAAGCGAGAAAAGTGGTGGCGGAAGCGGAGAGTTTTTTTGCTCCTTCTGCTTCGTGCCCACACACTTCTGCCGTCAAGGCTGACGGGGGACTTGGTGGTGGCTCGGACCAACTGGGTGGGGAACAAGGTGCAATCTAGTCTGTGTACCCATGTGGTGGTAGTGGTGGCTCTTGGCCTGCAGAAGAATCTTGAGGCGATCCAGCGGCGCCGTTGCGGTTTTAGCGCAGCATCTGACAAGCACAAGTCAGCCACAGTGAGCAAAGCGGGTCGAGAAGCCCTTCCCGCCCCTTCTCTTTCCATGCAAATAGTAGTAGTATGATGCTGCATGGTGGCAGCAATAGTGATCTCCACCGGGGGCACACTTGTGTCGCGTTTAGCATGCTGCGCCTCAGTTCCACTGCTGCAATCCTCGACCACCCAACCCCCTGAAGCCCCGCCCCCAGTTGCAAGGTGGAATAGTCTGTAATGCGGGTACCCTGCGATGCCACCGGCTGCAAAGCTCCGGGCGATGAAGCTCAGACTCGAGCGGTCCTTGTGCGCCCTCCACATTGACATGTGTTGCGCCAGTCATTTGAGATTGGAGATGCTTGACACAAAAGAGGACTGGGACCTCGGCTGGCTGAATCATCCTGATTCCCAATTCGAGCGCAACCAAGATCTGGAAACGATGAAGCATCACCACGGCATCTTTGATCATCACAGCTCATCTCAGATCCCAGTCGTCTTCTCTCGTCCAAAATTTCGAAATGCTGCCCTTGTTCCAAGTGGATGCATTCACAAGCACGCCGTTCGCCGGCAATCCTGCAGCCGTCTGTCTGCTGACGAAGGTTGGTTTTTTTTGTTTGAGGAGGGGATGGTGAAGCTATGCCAAGGGAAGGACGTGTGGGCCAACGAATCACACACTGCTGACTTGTGGTGGAGGCAGGAACTTCCAAACGCGACGCTCGCGGCCATCGCAGCCGAAATGAACCTGTCCGAGACTGCCTATGTCTCGCTGCTCGTGCCCGGCGGCGGAGAGACATCCAACGCTGCCACTGCGGGCACCACGGCGTTTGAGCAAGGTGAGTAGTGTCCGCCGAGGCCATTGAGAGCGTGACTCTCGGGCCGTTGACTCCATCTCTCAAATTGGCCTTGCCTGCCTCTCCAATGAGTGCAAAAATGCGTGGAGTGGAGCATGGTAACATTGAATACAAGCATCGATGGCTGACACTGATTGATGTGCGCTCTGGCAGGAACGCACTTCAAGTTGCGATGGTTTACGCCAACCGTCGAGGTCGCATTGTGCGGGCACGCCACACTTGCCACCGCGCATGTCCTCTTCAACATCCTTCACAATCAGGCATCGGCCATTACGTTTGACACGCTGAGCGGTCCACTCGTCGCCAAGAAGGGCGACAACAATACAATCTCGATCGATTTGCCGCTCAATCCTTGCGCACCCGATGTGGTTGCAAACTACGAGGAGACGGTCAAGGTCGCCACAGGCGGCCTTCCTGTCGCATGCGTCGAGTACTCCCCGTCGTCCAAGAAGCTTCTCATCCGGCTGGTGGACTCGGTCACACGGGCTCAACTCGAAGCGCTGACCGTGGATCCCGAGCAACTGCGCAAAACCGACTTGACCAACAAGGTGCGCGGTGTCATTGTGACTCTTTTGAGCGACAAGGTATGTTGGACAGCACTCTGGTTGATTGCATTCGATTGCAGGTTGTGTTCTACAGTTCTGTTGTTCTTGCATCGACTCACCAAAAAACAACCTTCCCCCGCTTTCTCGCACCGCAGAAACCATACGACTTTATCTCGCGATACTTTGCGCCATGGGCTGGCATTCCAGAGGATCCAGTTACGGGGTCTGCGCACACTGTGCTCGTCGATTACTGGTCGCGAGAGTTTGGCGGCCAAACCTTCTTCCACGCCAGGCAATGCTCTCCACGCGGCGGCGATCTTGTCGTTCATCTCGACCGCAGCACGAATCGTGTTGTAGTTGGCGGTGCGACTGCGACTGTCTTTACCGGATCTCTGAATGTTTGAAAATTCCCATTGAAACCAAAACACAAAAACAAAAAACACCTCATTCTCACCATTTTGCAGACGTTTCCCCCCGTTGTGGACAAGAGTTTGAAAGTCGTCCAAGTTCACCTGAGCTGCGCATTTCGAGTGTGAAACATAAATGTCGCTCACGACCGACCGAGTTTATTCAGAACGAGTGCTCCTTCAACATTGACTTGACAACATAATTTCGCCTCATCACCAACAACATGGCTTTTTTATTTTCTTTTTTCTTTTCCCCACCCCCTTTTGCATGTGCTGATGAACTGGTCGCACGTTCGGCTTTTGTTGCAAACACGTGCAATGTCATCTCATTTTTCGGCTCTTTTTGTTTTTGCGCGGCTTTTTTTCTTTTTTTCAATTCTTTTTGTTGGGTGTTTCAGTGTATTGTTTTGCATTTGATTTTGAATTGAAAGAACCAAGCTTCAAAGTGAAAGGACGGTTGCAAAGCCAAAGTCACCAATCACCATTGACGGACACACTCTTGAAGGACACCCGAAAAAAAAAAAAAAAAAAAAAAAAAAAAAAGCCGGCGGATGACTGTTTTGTTCTTCCCACTCTATTTTATTGCCGACCTCAACCTGGAGCGTAAGTGTGTGGACTTTGTACGCGTGCGTCTGAAACACAGGGAGGCGGGATTGGAAAGAGTGTGTGGCAGTGAGAGAGCATGTGTGCTGTGAGAGTGTTTCATTGGCGATATGTGGATCCGGCTGGTCAATCAGCTGAGCGAGCAGCTGCCGGGCTGTCATCGACCGCGAGACCGAACTTTTGTTGGGGGGGGGGGTTCCATTCTGCGCCTTGAAGCTGACAGTCAAGATGATGTTGATGCTGATGCTGATGATGATGATGATGATGATGATGATGATGATGACGATGGTTGTGGTGATCAAAGCATCGTCCCTTCATGAACAAAAAAAAAAAAAAACCGCCGCGTTGCCGCATGTTCCCCGCCACACATCACACACACACACACATACACCACACACACGTTTTGCCCCCTGATTCCCTTTATGCTGCAGTTCAGTGCTATACCCCTCGGCCAAACCCCCTGTAGCTTTCCGATTGCTCTGCTGCTGCTGCCTGATCGCTGGAGTGCTCACGTTGAAATGTGTTTGCGGCTCTGTTTTTTTTTTTTTTTTTTTTTTTCTTTTCTTTTCTTTTCTTGTTTTCCCCTTCTTTCTTTTTTTGCTCTCTGGTGCAGGCTGCCACACATGTCCGCTGAAATCTTGCAAAACGTCGATACCACCACCCGCGCGACGGATCTCGATCTGCCAGTGCTGCGCAAGACGCTGCCCAACGGCCAGTTTGGGGTCTTCACCTCGCGCCCCGTTCTCGCGGGCGAGGTCTTGATTGTCATGCCCCGCGGCGAGCTCGCGGCGTCGCCCGATCGCTTCACCGTGCAGGTCGGCGTCAACCAGCACATCACTGGCGACCAGCTCGGCCTGGCCAAGTTCCTCAACCACCACTGCGACGCCAACGCTCAGATGGTCGTTGTTGCCGACGTGGACGCACCGACTGCGTGCGCGCTCCAGGCAGTGCGCGACATTCCCGCCAACCACGAAGTCACATTCAACTATCTCACCACCGAGTTTGACATGGATGAGAAGTTTACTTGCAACTGCAGCTCGTTGCGATGCTACCGCGAGATTCGCGGCTTCCGCCACCTCTCGCCCGACAGCCAGCAACTGCTTGTCAAGTCCTCGCAAGTGGCACCGCATCTTCTCCTGCTCCTCCAGCAGTAGAAACAACCCCAGCCGATGATGGCGTGAAATCTATCTGTACATGTATATTTTTTCTTTCTTTTGTTGGCGAGTCGGGGGTGAAAGTTACTGTTGTGTTGCATTTTCAAACAAAACAAAAAAAAAAAAAAAACACTTGATTACTGCACACAAGCAAGCATGTGGATGTTGGCATCTTCTCCAGGCGTCCGCTCAGAAACAATGAATGTGCTCAACTCTTTGCCAGCGTTGACCACAGCTTGGTACCAGTCCCCTCCCCCCTCAAGAAACCCAGTTGGTGTGCTTGAAACGCGTCTGCGCTGGAAAATCCAGATCGGTGTAGCAAACCTCGAAAGCTGCGACCAATCGCATTGTTCCGGACACGAATCAAGCAGCAACCAAGCATGCGGTGGGGCGTCGACAAGGACTGGCAACAGATGGCCAACGCCGTGCAAGCATTCGCATTCGTCTTTCGTTCATCATTGGACGCCTCCTGTACGTGTCAAAAGTCTCGTTGGGATGATGCGACAACGCCTCTCAGTGCGCTTGCCTCGTAGCCTCGAAAGAAGCAAACAAAAAGCAGCAACACGGCGAAGGCAAATCTGAACGAACTCGTACTTGGAGGATTCGAGTCGAAATTTGCTCATCTGCTCAGACTCGGCACATTCCCAAATCGCAAGTCTCTCTGCTACAACAATTGCTTCCAACCGCTCTTGTCACAGCCTTCTTCCTTTCTCCCCACCATCCCGCCCCCATTTCCCTCTCTCAGCAATCCAGACGCAGCACGTCCTTTTGTGTGGCAGACACTCTCCCCTTCTGAGCTGCCTGAAACAACGCTCAGCTTGCAAACTAAAACATTTCATAATTTCGCACATGCACGATGAGGTGAGCGCGCCACATGATGGTCCGCCTGCACTCGCTGCGTCGAGAGAGACAGAGAGAGAAGCCGACTCGGATCGGTCGCGGTTTCTGGCTCTCCGTCGTCCCCCCCCCCCGTGTTTCCGCAGCAGCCGGATCAGCCACAAGCAAAACAGCTCGAAATCGTGGGACTTTACAGCTGTCGTCTGCAACCAACCCCGCAGCCACGGCGAACTCGCGAGGCGCCGGAACGTAGAAACGTAGAAACGCGCGCTCAAGCCGATGCTCCCCCGCGCTCTCTTCCCAAAAGAGTCGTGGATCGGACTCACAGGCGGGGTGCTCCCTACTACTCTGCGTGTGTTCGCGAAGTTCAAGTTGCTCATCTCTGCTGGCAACACAGACGGGAGCGACGCTCACAAAAAAGCACAAACATGTGCTGCGTTGAAAGAAGAAGAAGAAAAAAAAAAGGCGGGAAAAGCGAGGAAAGAGAAGCCGCGAGATTGGAACAATGCTTGTCTCTATCAGAATTGTGCAACAAAAGGACTGACACTTACTTTGACATGACATAGGAAACAAACAGAATCAGTACTGGAGATCTACTACCAAAGCGTTTAACCGCTTTGACACTTTACACTTTTCCTTCAAGAGCTCCTCTAATAGATTTGATTGCTGACCAGTCTTGTTTTTTGAGTCTGAAAATTCCCCCACACTCACGCACACACAAGTTTGTCGCACTTGTGGCAATCCCCCCTATTTTGAAACAAATCCTTTGATGCTGACCGGGAACCTCCCAAAGCTCTTAGCGTTCAGCGGATCTGCTCCAAGTGCGATCGGCGTTGCGGCGGCGCGCAGTCTCTGCTCTGGAGGCGTACTCGTGGCACACAGCACACCAGGGCCAGGAATGCACAGCGCCGCGCGTGATGCCCCCCGCGCAGTGGCCGCAGCAGAAGAAGGAGTGGCAAATCCGACCCGCTCTGGTTCTGATGACGCGCATCCCGGGTACGTCCCAGAGCCGACCGAACCCGGCGATCGGCGACACCGCCTCGTCATTGTCGGATCTGGCTGGGGTGGCTTCTCGCTCCTCAAGTACGCTGATGCGAAGCGCGTGCACGTCTCGATGGTCTCCGCGCGGCCCTTCTTCTTGTTCACCCCGCTGCTCGCGAGCACCTGCGTTGGCACCCTCGAGTTCCGCTCCATCCAGGAGCCTGTTCGCAACATGCGGTTCCCCAATGAGGGCGACTTCCACCAGGCGATTGTCACGGGAGTCGACACGTCCAAGCAACTGCTCCTGTGTCAGAGCGCGCTGGACGCGTCGTACAAGTACTCGGTGCACTATGACACGCTCGTTCTCGGCGTGGGAATGCGTCCAAACACGTTCAACATTGAGGGTGTCACAAAGTACGGGCACTTTCTCAAAGAGCTGGCCGATGCGCGCGCCATCCGCGTTCACCTCCTGCGCAACCTCGAGCTGGCCTGCGAGCCGGGCGTCTCTGCAGAGGAGCGCCAGCGCCTGCTCACTGTCGTGATTGCCGGAGGCGGAGCAACCGGCGTCGAGTTTGGTGCGGAGCTCCACGATTTTCTCGTCCAGGATTTGCCAAAGCTCTATCCGCACCTGCAAGACCACATCCGCATTGTGCTGGTGGAGCCGAACGACATCCTCGGCGCATTTGACTCGCGGCTGCGGACGTTCGCCGAGCGCAAGATCCGACAGCGGCGAGACATGACGATCGTCCGCAAGTTTATTGTCGACGTGACGGAAAAGAATGTGCACTTCAAGGACGGCACCACGCATCCCTTTGGCGTGCTCGTGTGGGTCACGGGTCTGGCACCTTCGCCGCTTGCTGTGTCCCTTTCCCAGTTTCCAAAGAACAAGCAACACCAGTTTGTAGTGGACCAACAGCTGCGCGTGACGGGCATTCCCAACGTTTACGCTCTCGGCGATTGTGCTGCCATGACCCCTGCGCTGCCCTGCACTGCCCAGGTCGCGGAGCGCCAAGGTCGCTATCTCGCGTCCGTTCTCAGTAATTTGGGAAGCGATTCGGCCGCCGTTGCGTCCGCTCCCCCATTTGTCTTCAAGTCGATGGGCATGATGGCGTATGTCGGCGACCACGATGCCATTTCGGATTTGCCTGTGACCAAGCTCTCGGGTAAGGATGCATGATTTGTGTCTGTCTTTGCGCAGAAACCCCATACCAATCGAAAAGCAATCAAAAACCAAGCAAAAGAAAGAAAAAAAAAACGGAAAAAAAAAAAAAAAAAAACGGCATCGCTCTGGATTGCTCTCGTTTGTTTTACCCTGTTCCTTTGGCTGACTCCTTCGTTCGATCACGTATGAATGTTACAGGCATTATGGCTTGGTGGCTTTGGTTCAGTGCCTACCTCACGCGCCTTGGAGCTTGGCGCTTGCGCCTGCAAGTTCCGTTCGACTGGTTCCGCTCGCGGCTCTTTGGTCGTGATATTTCCCGATTTTGATTACTTTTGCTCGACTTGTTACATGCAAATACTTGTTGCAAGGTTGCTCGACTCCGACGGGGACGGCACACACAATCGGCTGGACCCTCGAAGTGCCGGCTGTATGGATGTTTGATGTTGCACTGCTTTCGAGGCTCCTGTTGTCCTTTCAGTGCAAGTCGGGCTACAGTTGCCCTTCTTGCCAGCTTTGCTGTTTGGACGTTGGTATTAATAAAGAGCTCTGTACGCCACCACTCCACTCGTTTTTCGCGTTGCATTTGGACTTTGTTTTTCCATTTTGTCCAGTTTGTCATTTTGACAGGAGATGAGCGATCACGCAACAACACCGCTGTCAGGTACAGCTTTTGCTGCTCAACCACCCGTCTCTCGATCGATTGGTCTTGTGTGCTTCGTCTTGTTCTCCGTCGCTGTCTCGGTCTCACTGGGGACGGGACTGTTGTTGTTGCTGCTGGTGCTGCTGCAGACGGAAGCGCAAGCAGTGCGTTCGCACCGAATGAAGCAACGCCAATGGACACCCACGGAACCCCTTCGACAAACACCTCGCAGGACATGGTAGTAGACATGATGGATGTGCTGCCAACGGCGTCCTCGTGGCTCGCTGCAGTCCAGTCGACGACGCCAGCGCCCGCCTTGGGCAGCGACTCGAACGCGACCGAATCAGCCGACTCTCTGGCCACCGAGCAGCAGCCCGCCCCACCTCATCCTCATCATCATCATCATCCTCATTATCATCAACAGCAACATCATCAACAACAGCAACAACAACAACAGCAGCAGCAGCAGCAGCAGCAGCATCACCATCATGATGCTCTGGGACCGCAAATCCGAAACCTCGCGCACCACGGCGATTTGGCCTTTCTGCAGCGCGACGCACTCACGCCCGAGTCAACGTCCCAGCGCATCATCCGATCGGACTCGAGCCGTGCCGTCCAGACTGGTGTGCAGCAGGTGCTCCATCAAGCCCATCGACGATCCGGCGCCGTCCCGCTCGTGTGGGGCTCGGAACAGCGCGACGATCAAGCAGCTCACCACCACCCAACGCACCCCGCTCACCCTGCAACGCTACATTCGCGCGAAGATGCTCGAGGCGAAACGGATCAAGACCACGAGGCTGCCGCCAATGTCTCCATGGCGGCTCATGATGACAACTCGGACAATCTGCAGTCGAGCTGGTCGCAGGAGGACGAGGAGGAGTTTGATCCGGACGATTTGTTTGCTGCGCTCAGTGTGCCCGGATCGCCAGCGGCCGTCACGTGGATTGTCGGGAATGAGGCCTTGAATGAAGCCCTCATGCTGTGCGCTTCGGAACCCATCCGAACGCCAGGGCTCATCCAGCCTGTGGGAGCGCTGGTGGTGGTGGATGCCTTGACCGAACAAGTGAAAGCTGTTTCGGTCAACATTGAGACCTTCACCGGCGCCTCGCTGCCTTCCCTTCAAAACAACACGTTTGAGCAAGTGTTTGGCAAGAGCTGCGCCACTGCTCTCCGCCGGTTTCGAGACTCGAACAGCAACTCTTACGTCTACCTCCACACATTCCGCCCGCCCTGCAAGAATTACGAGCTCATGACGGTCTCGATGCATCGCCAAAACAGTCTCATCCTTGTAGAGATTGAGCAGGCCACCAAAGCCGCCATCAGTGGTGATTTGTCCGTGGCCATGAAAGAATCGCTCAAGCTCATCACCGATTCAAAATCCGTCCCGGATGTGTGTCAAGGTGAGTTTCACCAGCCAAGCACCACCACCACCACCAGCACCACCACCCCACACATTGTACCCACTGTTTGGTCCTTGCTCTCTGGCTGCCCCTCTTTGATGACTGACTGATTGACTGACTCCCTGACTGATTGACTGACTCACTGGCTGAATGACACAATTGTTTTGCATCTTGCTCTCGACACATACACACTCGCCACTACTCCTGTGACCAGTTCTCGCACAAGAAGTGCAACGCCACAGTGGCTTTGATAGAGTCATGGTGTACAAGTTCGACGAAGATTACAATGGAGAGGTGGTTGCGGAAACGCGCTCGCGGGACGACGTGCCCTCCTACATGGGACAACACTTTCCTGCAGCAGATATTCCTCCACAGGCGCGAAAGTTGTACACTATCAACTGGCTGCGTAGTATCGGTGATGTTGACTCGGTCCCGTGTCGAATCGTTTCCGTCGATCCGACCTTCTCGGACATGGACGCGCTCTCCATCGACATGACTCCGCTCCACCTCCGCGCCGTCTCAGTCATCCATCTGCAGTACCTTCGCAACATGGGTGTCAAGGCCAGCATGTCTCTGTCCATCATCCACAAGAAGCGTCTGTGGGGCTTGGTGGCTTGCCACCACTTGTCCGCGGCCAAGTTTTTGCCGGCGCAACAGCGCAGTGCATACGAGCTGATTGCCGTTGCCTTCAGCGTACACCTTGGAAACCTCCGAGATGCCGAGTACCAGCAGTATCTGAACACAACCGCCAACCATATTTCACGCATCCTCGCCAGCACCGCAGACCGCTCCACAACGTTGGTCGACCTACTCCGGCACCACATGGAAAGCTTCCTCGCTGCATTCGGGGCCAACGGTGCTGTGCTGATCAACGGCGACGACAATTCGCTGCGAGTGGGCAATCCTGCGTTCTTGGCGCTCGACTGGCTCGAGGTTTTGAGAGCTTGGTTGGTTTCGAGCGTCTCACTGCCACTCGTCTTCCGCTCTGACTCGATGCGGCGCCACTTTTCTGCCACTCAGTCGCCGGATGTCGCTGTGGTTCCTTCCGGCGGCATCATGGTGATTCCAATCGACCATGTTCATGGAATCTTCCTGGCGCTCTTTCGCAACGAAATCACCCAAACCGTCTCGTGGAGTGGCGCCACGCCCGAAACCGTCAAGGTTCGCCAAGACGGTCCAGCTGGCAGCACCGCCGCCATCCTTGCACCTCGCGTGTCCTTTGAAAACTGGCGAGTGGAGTATCGCGATCGGTGCTTGCCTTGGACGGATGTGGAGCTCAAAGAGGCCTCGGTCCTTCGAACGGCGCTCGCTCAAGTTGCCGCAACCGAGCGGATGGGAGCTGTCGTCATGGGGAGCGCCGCTCCAGCACCAATGACCACCGAACCGCGTCCACTGAAAGTTGGCATGGTGGTCGCTTCTACAACACCCTCCTCGCCAGGCTCGCTAGCAACTGCACCCAGCACACAAAAGCAGAGTGACTCCATTGCAATGCATGCAACCTTTTCTGCTGCCCATGCGGTCCAGCGGGTTATATCCATCCTGAATACTCCGTCGACCGAGACCGTTGGCTCACAGGGCCTATCCACGCTTGTCAAGAGCAACAGCGCAGCGTCTGGCGTTGTGTCCGATCGGCAGGTCTTTGATCAAGGTGCTGGAGCAAGCGACACGGAAGCCGCTGTGGACCAAGCGCGTTTGCTGGAACAACAGCAGCAGCAGCAAGCTGTCACAAAGCTGATCGAAGCTGCAAAAATGGACACATCCCTCATGGTGCTCGACGTTCAGCCCATCCATTTGCGACGTCGCTTCTCGCAGTGGCTCGCGGCAGTGACCCAGCAGTTGCTCTCGCGGTTGAATTGCAACATCACCACCACCATCAACCCATCTTGCGACATTGTCATCCTGTCCGACCCCATCAAACTGCAGTCCGCACTGAGCAACATTGTTTTTGCAGCCTCGCAAATGGCTGACGTGCAAAAGTGCTCGCTGGAAGTGACAGTCACCTCTGTCGCCGCCGCTCATGCTCCAGTGGTGGCCCCGCTCTACTTTCAGAAGCCCGCGGCCGGTGTGTCCCTCTCGACAAGCCCGGCCGGCGCAGCGACACTACCGGCCCAAACGCCCGCTCTGCCTGTCGCACCGACGCCCGCCACGACGTCCGGTTCATCGGAGCGATCCCGCGAGGTCTTGTCGGTGGGTGTTCGTATCCCGCACCTCATCCCTCACGTCATTCAGGACAACGTGTTGCCTGACATTCAGGCTTTGGCGTCGGCGCGCCACCTGGCGGCAGCGCTCGGAGGAACCGTCCAGACCTCCTTCCCTAGCGGCGCAAAGCAGCCCGAGTCGCTCACGTTCTTCCTGCGCATTCCCGTTGATGCCGCCAAAACCGTGTCTGCTGTGCCCCACACGCATGTCGACCCTATTTTTGCCAAACCAGCCGTGCCACACGTGGCCAAGCGCAGAGCAGAGAGCAGTAGCAGCAGCACCCCGCTTTCGCTTGCCCAAGTCTCTGTGCACGTCGTGGACAATGCTGATGTGCGAATGCCGCTGTGGCGCTACGTGTTTGAGTGGTTGAAAGTGGGCAGCGCCACGTACTATCCCGACGTCGCGAGCCTGCTTCGGGCTTTGCGCCAGACTGACGTTGCTCCGGGCGCCAACAACAACAACAACAACAACAACAACAACAACAACAACAACAACAGCAGCAGCAGCAACCACATGGTGGTGCTTGCTCACGTCGACATGCCAGAGATCTCTTTGCTTGTCAGCACGATGAGCACTGAGCAGATTCCACTCATCTTGGTCGTTCCACACTCGCGCATGACCGCTGAAGAGGAGCATTGGCGCTCGCTTCCCGTCCATGCTTGTCTCTCCTTCCCGCTCGAGCCTGCGACCCTCTCGGCTACTCTGACTCGGATTTCTCAGCATAACCGATCGGACGGCGGACATGCCTCAAAGAAAGCCAGACTAGAGCCCCAGTGATGAAACGTGTTGCTCCAAGATTGCAAATTAGTTTTTTTTTGTTGTTGTTTTTTTTTTTTTTTTTTGGAATGGAGGTGGTTTTCAGAATACAAGGGGGGAAAAATCGATTAGTCAAAATAACAAAGAGCAAGGGGGGGAGAGATGTTCAAAGTAGCGGGAAGGGCGAAGGTTTTTGGCAACCGAGAGAACAGCTTCGGTGTCACAGTTTTACTGCTGCTTGAGTGACCGGAACATGTTATCGGCAAACTGGAAGAATGCCGTCTCTTGTGATGTGAGGCGCCCAGGTCGGTTTGGCGCTGGTGAAGCGATGCCAGTCAGAGAATCGTGGCGACCAGACGAGCCTTTAAGGATGGATTCAAAAAGCGTCTACCAAAATCAAACCGCAACATGTAAAACCAAAAGCGGGCGAGTCGTTGAGCAAACAAAAGGTCGCGCGAGACACTGCTGCAAGAGATTGGTCCCTCCACGTGGGTGGACGGAAAACAACAAAAACAAAATGCTTACCAACTCGGTGTGGAGATCGGCCTTGATCTTGGCTTTGAGTCGCTCGTCCACATTGGGCGATTGCAGATACACTGAGACCTGAGAGAGCAAGAGGAGAGTGGCATTCTCGGCGATGAACATGAGCAAGTCTCGCTTGTGGCTGGAGACCACTCCAGCAGCAGCGGGCGTCGCAGTCATTGGCGGAAGTGTCGCGCTTGGGAGGGCCAGCGTCGAGGTACTCGTCGTGGAAGCGACTGGCACCGGAATGTCGCCAAGGCTGCCGCTCGAGCGCAATCGCCCAGAGGAACGCGTGGCGAGCTTGTTCATCATCTTGATACAAGCATTTAAGCACACGACAAGAGTGCCAAGCGCCGCTGCGTCTTCCGAGGTGATGCCCGTGAAAAACGGTGTGACGAGCGGCAATACTGACTCGCGATCTTGCTCCAACAGTACCCGCTCAAAGAAGGGGCTCGGAGCAATGGTGCGCAGCAAGACGACGACATTTCGCAGTGCATTCAGCAGCACGCCTTCACAATCAGTCACAAACTTGGACGCAGTGACCGATTGCGCGTCGGACGATGAAGCGGCTCGGCCGTCTTTTCGAGGCGAATTGACAGCGGTGCTCGCTTGCGTCGCGTTAGGAGCGGCCAAAGTGCCCAAACGGGCGCTCGGCGAAGTTGCAGCTGGAGGAACACTGCTGCTGGATGATGATGTTGATGCAGGAGCTGTAGGCGGGCTCGCTGCGACGGCGGCGTCCTTTTCATCGCGCGACACGGCCAGAAACACGGAAGCCAGCTGCTGTCGATCGAGCGTGTAGGAAAATCGATGGAGAACACCAAGCACGGCGTGAATCTGCTCGGTCTGGCCGACGCCAATCGACTTGGACCACCGCGACTCGAACGGAGCCAATCTGCACAAGAGCATGGAGACGGCCTCAATCTCGCACAAGTGACCCTTTGTCAAGCCGGCAGAGCGCGGAGCGCCAAAGCGACCGAGACCAAAGTCAGAGCCCAGCATATCCGCACCGCCAAGCACGGTTGGGCCGGTTGCTCGCGAGGGAATCGGCGACTGCCCAGACGCTGCCTGTTTGAGCACGAGCACCAAACGGGCGTGGCACACGGCCACAAAGTCAATCACTTGGTCGACGAAATGGTCGAGATAGTCTGACGGGCTCAGCGTGCTCGAGACCACGTTGAGCAGCAGGCACCAGACCTTGTGCCAACCGTCACGCTCACCGGACGCGGTGACAGAACTTGCTCCCATCGAAGCAGCCCTGCCACTGCCGGCGGGGAACGACGAGAGAGTTGCGGCAGCAGCAGCGCCGCTCGAGTAGGCCTCCGGGAAGGTGCTCAACCCATCCGCCCCGATCGCGGTCGCACAAGCGGATAAATGGTGAACGACACCGGAAGAGGCAAGCAGGGACGCGGCCGCCGGCACGCAGGTCATGGTGAGGAGCAAATGCAAGGAAATTTCGACAAAGCCCAGGCTCTCGCGGCATCGGCATGCTTCGACCATGTGCGCCAAGATGGTTTGCATGAGGCCGCGTCGACGAATATGCTCCAGCCACAAAGAAACGTCGGGCAGTTGGCGCGACAGCTCGCAGAGTAGAGCAACGCCCACCTCGGCGACAGCGGCTCGATGTGCACGATCAGCTCCAGCACTACTCGCAATCGTCTTGACAAACGATGCACTCGGCGGTACTGAGGGGGCTGCATGGATCAAGTCGCGATAGGTGCGACGGAGGGGGTCGTCACGAGCGATCGGCATGGCGTCTGGCGGCGGGAAGAGCGACCGAGTCTTGTGCATTGGCGCGGGTTGGTGTTGGCGATGGGCCCATCGCGCAGACGATGACTGGGCCTGCTGGTGCTGCTGCCAAGGCTGTTGTTGTTGCCATGCGTGGAAACTTTGCTGCTGCTCCCTCGACTGCTCCCCGGCCTGTTGCTGCCGTTGCATCTGAAGACGCTGCTGTTGGCGCTCCTCCTGCTCTGACGAGGGCTCATTTTCTGCGCTGAACGTCAGAGCGTTGTACACGGTCGAGGTGACGAGCGGCAGCAAGCTCGCTGCGCAATCGGTGAGCTGGTGGGCAAACTCGCGCTCAGCCTCTCGCCCTTCAGCAGCGGGCAACTTGGCGATTGCTGGAGCCATGGCAATCGTTGCAAACACGGTGGGCGACAAGATGGAGGCAGGTTGGGACTGCAATGTGGCGCACAGCGCGGCATAGATTGGCTTTTCCAGCAAATGCTTGAGCTGCGGATTGCTCTCCATGTTGTGCAGAGTGCCAACCAAGCGGAAGACCAGACGAATGGACGCACTCACATCGAGAAGCGACGTTGGGGCGGAGCCCGAGAGCAGCGCAAACGCGCCCGACGAGGCTGAGGCCGCGGCCGACAAGGCAGCATGCCCGCGAACGACGCATCGCAGGACCAAGAGCAACAAGTCGGCCAACTCTGCCAGCGACGAGCACAAAACAAATCCATGGGCAGAGTCTGAGCGACGCACCAGAATGTCAGCCAAAACTTCCAAAAGATCAGCAAGTAGCGCGTCCGACTGTGGGCCTGATGACGAATGGTTGGTGGCGGCGGGGACTGCCATGAACACGAACGGTTGACGCGTGATGCCCGCTTCCAGGAAGGTCTTCCACGAACGCAGCAGCGCAAATCGGGCATCACCAAGCGACCACATGAGGTTGGCCCGCGACAGGGCGCGCTTGAAATCGGCCACACGCTCGTCGGGGGTCGGGATGGCCGCTGCCAACGCTGCCGACAGCTTCTTGTCCACCAGGGTCACGTCGTACACAAACAACGTGCCGTACTCGGCAAATTTGGTCGAAGAGCGGAATTCGGACAATGGCAGGGTCGTGTCCTGTGCAAGGGTGTGCAAAGTGGTCTCGAGCGAGGACTGCAATGCCGGGTCGGCGCCAGTTGGAGGGCCCAACTTGCGCAGCCAAGAGGTGAAGCGCCCGTCTTTGGCGCACTGACGCAAAACGGTCACGAGTGCCGGGTCCAGCTGTTGCTGAGCCGCCTCGACGTTGGAGCCAGATGTTGCAGAGACCGACGAAGCTGGACGGGCAAAGTAGAGTTCGAGGGCCAGCATTTGCATGACGTGAGCAATGCAGAGCAAACGATGGCAATGGCCCACCACAGTGGATTCGCTGTCAAACAGCTCGTTGGCAACAATCAGGCGGGTCACGTCCAAGGACGTGTCCATGTCGTTGCCGTCCTTCAGCGTGCTGCGATCAGAGAGCGAGGCCGCCTTCATGTCATCAACAAGCATGGCATCAATGTCTGCAAGAATAATTTCGGTGATGCTCTTCCAGAAGGACGCATGCCGCCGCAAGGCATTCAGCACTGCAAAGTAATCGGTAGCATTGTCCCAGAAGGAATGCACGAGCGCAACGGCCGCCGACACCAGGCGAGGACTGGCGGCAAGGTCTCGCTTGCTGTTTTCGAGAATACGAAGAACGGCGTTCAGGCAGCTGTGTTTTCCCAGAGCGAAACGTACCGGGCCTGTTGCAGGAGCTTTGAGCTTGTTTGTTGCGGGTGCTGGAGCGGCTGACGCAGCAGCACCAGCAACAGCAGCAGCCTTGTCGTCGGCGGCGGCGGCGGCGGGTGCCTTGGTGCTTGTTGCTGCGCTCGGCGCGGGCTCGGGCACCAAATCCAAGAACAAGGCGGCCAATCCAGGCTGCGTCTCGACGACGACCTTGAGGAAGTCGAGGATGGCAACCCGAAGCTCGGGCGTTTCTGAGCGCGACGTGAGGCGATCGTAAAACCCATCTCGAATGACATCCGCCTGGCTTCCAAAATACCCGATAATGGACGGTGGGCTGGGAGTCCAGGTGGCTGCCGCTTCGCAGAAGCGTTGCATGATTTTTGTTGCTCCCATCACAAGTGCTGGGTTGTACTGGTAGAAAATGTACATGGCAATCACTCCAATCAAATGATTCGAGCCCTCCTGGCCGATTGTACGGCTGAAGAGTGCCTGCTCAAGCGCTGAGATCTGAGACGAGGTGCGACGACCACGGCGAAGTCGCGACTTGCCGTTGCCAGTCGCCGCCGCCGCGTCTTGCGCATCGTCTGCGACCGCACCCGCGTCATCGGTATCGCGGAACGTCAGCAGTTGATCAAGCAACTGAAGCGTGAGGATGACCAGTCGCTCGAGCGCCTTCGCCTCGGCCAGTTTCTTGGCACGGAAGAGGCGCTCAATCGTCATACCGCCAGTGCCCAGAATGGAAATGATGGCGTTGTGCAGTACGCCCTCGTTCAACAGCGAGTCAATCAAAAAGTTCCGAAGCGCGCCGCTGTTCGCAGTGCGCTGCTGGTGTTGGTGCTGTTGCAACAAGATGGATTGTTGCCGACGACCTTCCTCCGCCGTGAGCATGGACGTCATGAGCGAGTCGGCTGTGCCATTCGCGACAAACGAAGTGGCGGTGGTGGTGGCGGTGGTGGTGGTGGTGGTGGTGGTGGTGGTGGTGGTGGTGGTGGTGGTGGTGTTGAGAGTTGAAAAGTCGGCTCCAAACGTGGTTCCATTCCAAGGCGCGTTGGAAGCTGCTCCACCTGCGGCAGCAGACGAAACAACAGGCATCGTGTCGTGCAAAACTTCGAGGAAGAGCTCGAGAACGCGCGAGCCAAGCTCGTACCGGTCGAGCACTCGCGCGTATCGCCAGCTGATGTGCCCGGCAAATACGTCATTTTGGGCAAACGCAAGGCAAGAAAGCAAATCGCTGGGGTTGATGGGGTCGGACAATGCCCCAGTCAGAATCGCTGCCCGCATCTTTGCGGTGACTGCCTCCAGATCGACAAGCAGCGCGTCGTCAGTTGTAAGCTCAAGGCCAGACGCGTCCCTCCGCGACGGCTTTGATGCCGCAGAGCGATCTCCCTTCAGTGAGCCGAGAGTGTGAGGCGTGGTCGAGGTGCCCGACGTGTCCATCAGATATCGCGGCCTGCGGCGCTCGTTGGCGTTGCCAGGACTCTGGTAGCGCTGAGCGTGGCGAACGAGGGTGTGTGTCAGAGCCAAGAACGCAAATGTGATGGAATAGCGTCCGGTGGTGCACTCCATGTCGTGAAGCAGCTGGCGCACGTAGCCAGCTGCAGAAGCACTGCCACTGCCGCTGCCGCCCCGTCCCGCAACAACCGCTTGTGCCAGACTGCCACTTGAAATGTCGAGCATCATGGATTGAGAGGCGGCAGAGTTGGCGAGCACGACGTTTGCCATCAGAGGCGCTTCCAAGGAGGCGAGCGCCATGTGCGGCAGCAGGCCAATTTGCTGCAAATGCACAAACACCTGATGAGGGAAACTCTTGGCGAGGCCGTGGATGCAGCGCAGGGTGGCCGTGATCAAGCCGGCAGGAGGGTCGCGGGAGACCATCCAGCGATGCAAGAGCTGGAACAAGCGCGATGTCACCAGCAAGTTGCCCTTGGCGCCTTGAATGGCTGCAGCAACACTCGACGACTCGGCCGCCTGCTGGTGTGGTGCGTCACTCCGTCGCTGGGCCACCTGAGCATCGACTTGACGGCAGGTTGCGAGGACGTGCGCCTCAAGCGCGGGACCCAGTGAAGCATCGTGGTGAAGCAGATCGGCAAGAAGCTCGAGCAACGCGACCAGTTGCTGGTTTTGCATGTGCGTCAAGAAAAGATGCCAAACGGAGAACGAGTGCAGCCATTGTACAGTAATGGACGAATCTTCGGCAGAGTCACCGCGGGCGACAGCCAGTGCCAGCGTACCATGAGGAATCACAATTCCGTACCGCGCAGAGGGTGTCGCCTGGGTTGCAGACACGCTCTCAAACAATCGGGTGCTGTTGGTCTCCCCGCCGGGCGCTTCTGACGAGGCCAGAGGCGCCAGTTCAATGTCGCGCGTGGCCACAAGCACGCTGGGAAGATTGTTTCCGGCAGCCTGCGCGGCAGCGGTGACCGAGTACACCATGGCAGACTGCGCCAAAACAACGTCGTCGCCAGAATTCAACACTTGACGAGCAGCGAGCCCGCTGGTTGCGTGCGCTCGCTGGACAAGCGTTTCGTGATGCCGTTCGGCAGTAACGGCGAGATGCTGCAGTGCGCGACGAGTGTTGGCCTCGTCCAGCTCTTCGACAAAGTTGTCTTCGAGCTCCTGCTGCGACATGTGCACAGTAAGAGCCGGAAGATGGGTCAAGTAACGAAACACGTGCGCGGCCGTGTTGGCATCCGCGGCCAGGGAGGTGCTCAAACGTGCAAACGGACCAAAGTGTGCAGGGAAGCGCGCGCGAGTCAAGTCCAGCAATGATCGCAGCGAGGGTGAGTGGAAGGATTCGTTCCAGAACTGCTGGCAGAGCGCAGGCTGGCCGTTGTAAATGGCCGCGGAAATGCTCACGAGCAGATGGTAGCCTGGCAAATGTGCAACGTCGAACGCAGCGAGAATGGTCGAGACCAAGCCGTTCAACACGCTCTTGTAACCCACAATGGAGGGTGAATCGCGAATCAGCGGTGAACGCAACATGTCATCCAGGTACTGCAAAGCGTTCGAGCGGAAGGCTGCGGCACAAAAGTCGCCAAACGAGGGGTCCATTGTGGTATTGTTTTGGAGCTGGTTGGCCCAGCAACGCAACGAGGCCCACGCCAGCAACACGGTCGCCGAGTACGGCGACACAATGGGCTCGGCCGCCCGCTGGGCCTGCTGCTGTGCTGGGAATCCATGCCGCACGGGAGTCACAGCTTGGCCAACAAGCCACGAGTCGAGTTTGCCTTCGAGAAGGCCGCGCTCCTTGACATTTCCGACCATCCCGTGCTCGGCCACCCGCTGGGTGCGCTCGTCGAGCGATAGGTCGTCCAACTCGAAGAGCAGCGACTCCAGGCTCAGAATTTCAATGGAAATAATGCTGCAGAGGTGAGAAATATGCGCGGCATGCTCTTTGGCAGAGCGGGTGGTGATGGCCGAAGCCGCAGCGCTCAGCTGGCTAGAAGACGTGGCAGTTTGCGGCTGAGAAGAAGAAGCAGCAGCAGATGTTTGCTGTTGCTGTTGTTGTTGTTGTTGTTGTTGTTGTTGTTGCTGTTGTTGCTGCTGCTGCTGCTGCTGTTGCTGCCGAGAACCAGCTCCGTCTGCAAACTGCAAAAGCGACGAGTTGATGCTGCTCGAACCCGAGTTTAAGTGTTGTTGGAAGAGGTCGAGCAACCGATGGGCCATGGGCGCCGTGCACGTCACACGCGCGTAGTACACGAAAAAGACAACATCCAGCAGCGCTGCTTGCTCGCGGAGCTGTTGCACCGCCCACCGCGCTGCTTGGCGCTTGGTGGCATTTGCATTCTCACCTTCGTGTTTGGGAGCTTCGGTGGTGGCTAACTTGACAATCTGCGCAATAACAGATTCGATTAACGCGTTCGAGCCGGGTGTGACGGCAGTGGACGAAGAGGAGGAGGTGGAGGAGGATGAGGCAGCCGAAACGACCGATGGAACCGGTGCCGAAAACATGCGCTGCACCTCGGCTGCAAACTGCTCGTGGTAGGGATGCGACTCGTCGTCAACGTTGCGCAGCACCAAGCCCACACACTCGAGCAACGAGATGCGGTCGTCTTCCAAGTGAAAGTCGAGGATTTGATCCAACGTCTGCTCGCTCGGTGTGAGACGCTTGTTTGAGTAAGTCCCACGCACCTCCTGCTTGAGAAAGCGAAATGCAACGTCGTACGCCTGGAACGCATCGAGCGCAAGCACTTTGGTGAGCTTCAAAGCCAGCGCCTTCAACTGCAGATCGACCGTGACCTCGCGTCCCGTGGCGAGCGGGATTTTCGCTGGGGGGTTGAGTGCTTTCAGCTTGTCGTCGGACTGCTGCGAGCTCGGCTTGAACGAGAACAGGCCCAGCAGTAGCTTTTGGTGGTTTCGCTCGAGCAGCTGTTCAATCACATCGTGCTCCACCTGGCATTCGGACAGCGTTTCGTACAGCTTTCGCGGCGATCTGTGACGGCGTGAGCAAATTGTTACAACAACAACAACAACAAAAGGAAAACACGCACACACAAACAAACAAAAAAGCAATCACAGAGAGAACGCAAAAACAGACGAGATTGAGTGAGTTTCAGTAAAAAACCTCGTGTGTTTGACGAGTGTGGAGGGGAGCGACGAGGTTTTTTTTTTTTTTTTTTTTTTTTTTTTTTTTGCGATCTCGATGCAAAATCCCATTCAAACGACACCAACACAAAGTCGAGCGCGAGAACATTGAAGGGAAACGTGTGACTCACTCGTCGTACTGCCGAAGTAGCAGATCGCGTTGATGCTGTTGCTGCTGTTGCGGAGTGAGCGCGGGCTGCGTTGCGGGCGCTGCTGCTGCGGCTGCTGCGGCTGCGACTGGCTTGGAGATTGCCGTTGGTGCTGGTGCTGCCTGTGCAACTGCTGGTGCTGCTGCACCAGCAGGAAGCACGGGCGCTTTGGCAAGTGTTGCGGCGGGCTGCGGAGCTGCTGCAGTCAGACCGGCAGGAGTAGGAGCAGGAGCAGCCGCAGGAGCTGGAGCACCAGGTGGTTTCCCGCCAAGAACTGGCAACCCACCGCCCAGGCTGGGCATGCCCAGAGCACTGCCGCCGGGTGCTGCGCCGAGTGCTGGAGGCCGCACTGCACCGGGTGCGCCGAACGATGGCAGGTTTGCGCCAGGCACAGTGAATGGAGGCGGCTGAGCGGCCATTGCGGCAGGAAAGAATGAGCTGTTCCGTCTCAGAAACGATGCCCTTGTTCGTGAGATGGAAATATCATCATCACCAAAACAATAAACCACATTACACAATTGTGCGTATTCTGTATGTTTGGATTTGCCGTCACCAACACTGCACTGCACGCAGAAGCAACAAAAACACTTAGTACTTTTTGGTCACAACAACGCGGATGGTCTGGTTGGTTGGGGTGTTGGCGGCAGGCACAATCCAAATGCGATTGTTGGCAGGAACGTAGTTGGCGGTGGCCGCTCCAGCCGGGAAGATTTCAATGTTGACGCCCTTCGGGTACCAGTACTGGGTGCTGGCGTATATTTCAGTGTTGTTGGACACCGACTTGTCCAGATTGAACGAAAAGTCAAAGCTGGCCGAAGTGGGCTCAAAGTTCATGCGGGTGGGCTTGCCCTGGACGGCGAGAGCATAGGTGCGGGTGAGGGCCTGGATCTTGCCCGCGTCGACCGTGCCGTTCGCAAGGAAGAGCGACTCGACCGACGATTGCGTCGTGACATCGTTAAAGTACTTGTACTGCCAGTAGCTCCACGATTGCAGGTTGCTGTCGGCAATGTTGGTCACGCGCGAAATTTCGTCCACACCGGCCGCGTCGCCGGCAACAGCACCAAACTCGGTCAGGAACATGCCTCCCTTCAGCCGCTGTGCGTCGTGCACCGACTCGACAATCTTGGCAGAGTCGAACGCAAAGCAGACGTCGGGGTTGGCCGGATCGCCATGTCCGTTTTGGTCGGGGCAGTACCTGCAAATTTTGCAAACATCGGGGGTACCGGGAAAAACGAAAGACGTTGGTGCCATAATCTTCAGCGACAAACAAATACCATGCAATCGCGACGTACACGTGGTAGCTGAACACGGTCTTGTTCGCCCAGGCGGCACCACCTGGAGCTTGAGTAAAGCCACTTTGGAAGAACGCATCAGACTGGACATTCTCGTAAAAGACAAGGTGCTCTGTATCGACTTGACGGATGGCCGTGTGGAGCTGGAGAGAGAGCGAATGGGGGTTTTGTGAGGGTTCAATGACACCACAACAGGCAGCAAGACCAAGTCGAGTGAGCACGAGTCCTGGCACAAGACAACGCCAACAAAGAGCAGACTTTACCTTCTCCCACAGCGGAGCCAGGTTTTTGGCATCCGCGTGACCAGGCTCGAGCAACAGAGGGTTGGCCACGACATCGCCGTTCCATGGTTCGTTCCAGAGCTCAAAGCCAATCACGCCCGGATGATCGCTGAAGGCGCCAGTGACATTCTGCCAAAAGGCGGCAAACTTGTCGCCGAGACTGTCCGTGTTGTCGTAGAAGGCCTGGAAGGCTTCGCCCACTTCCACGGCAAAGTAGTAGTCGGCAAAGTTGATCTTGAGGCAGTCGGCGAGCAGTGGATAGCCAGTGGTGGGGTCAATCGCGGGCTTGTTTGTGACAGGGAAGGGAAAAGTCCCCTGGTACTTGTTGGGATGGACCAGGTGGTCGGCCACGCCCTCGCCGCAGTACTTGGGCGACAAGACGTCCTGGTGGTTGTCAAGCAGAGTGTAGATGCCACGCGCGTACAGCTTGTCGACAATGGATCGCAGCTCGCCGAGGTACGTCTGGTTGTATTGCGCTGGCGCCGGTTCCACGCCCGCCCAAAGAACACCTGTATGAGGGATGTCGATTGTGTTGTGGCAATAGCAGTAACACAATTACCAATCGTTCGCGACCGTCCGAGCCGTGAGTCTACGATCACGGGCTTTTGAAGCAAGAATGATCAAAGTCTTTTGGTTGGCCCAAAACTCACCCAGGCGCACAAAGGTGAAGCCCCAGTTGACAATGTTGTCAATGTCCTGGTCGTTGAAGGACGTGACTGGATCGAAGGCGCCTTGCGAAGGGTAGTACGGGAAGATCTTGTACACGACATTCACACTATTGCAACACCATCAACCCAAGCAAAGCAAAAAAAGGTGAGTGTTCCGATCATCACCATCATCAGCATCATCACCATCATCATCAACATCAGCATCAGCATCATCGAGTGTCATGTGGTTCGGGGAGGGGGATTGGTCGGTTCCACAATTCTCGAGCTGTCAGCTGGTTTTCGGCCCTCACCCGTGGAAGATGCGGGTGCGGCCATCCGGAGCCACAAACTGGAAGTGGTCTCCGACAGTGATGAAGGGCGACCCAGCTGCAGCCAAGGCGACGACCGCTGCAACGAGCAGCAACACGGCCGCTCGCATTTGTTGTTGTGGAAAGCAAAAATTTGACTGGATTGGCTTCCAAAAATGAAAAACCTACTTGTTTTGTTCGTTTTCCAATGCGGTGTGTTTCGAGACGTGTGGCGATCGTACCAAAGTCGTGGCAGCATCCGCTTTCACGCTAGATGGTTGTAAATATAATTGATGCTTTGTAACACGATGGAAGAACAGCATACGGCTCCGGGGAAATGGAGATACACTTGGCCAACGATTCAAGCAATGGGATTTTGAGTCGTTGCCGCCGATGGCGCCACTCTGGAGCTCTGCCTTTCGAGTGGGTGTCAGGACCCGCAGGCTCTGCGGTCCCGACTGGGTCGTTCTTTGCTAAGAAGACTCGGCGTTGATGTCTTTGTATTGTTTGTATGCATGCATTTGGAATTGCAGTTCAGTCTGCAAAGTGAAATAAAACACTTTACAACAACATTGCCTGGCTAACCCTAACAAGGTCTTACACATTGCAGACTCTGACTACAGTCACCCGATGTCTGTTGTAACCGATCCAACCAGCGCTTCGACTAGCGCTGAGGCAAGCACGGGCCCCGCGGCAAACACGAGGCAACAGACGGCTGCGAGAAAAGAGAAGATCGCGCTTCTTCGGGCGCAGCTCGCTGCTTTGGAGCTCGAGAACTCTGAGCTGGAAGGAGACTCCAAGAACGATGAGGAGACACCTCAACAGGATGAAGATCTGAAGGATCTGACGAAAACGCACCAGGGTCAAGGCGGCGTGATCAAAACTGAAACGGACGTCGAGCCGCAAAAGCTGGCTTCGTCATCGTCGGTCCCACCCCCGGCGGTCCACCAGCCCGCACCCCGTCCGCAGGCAGTCGACTGGCAGCCCGCCAAGGCGCCCAAGCTGCTAGCCCCCTCGTTCGACGGCACGGCGGCAAAGCTGACCCAATACGAGAAGGACTTGAAGCGTTACCGGTCGTACTTTCCAGAGGAGAGATGGAACGAGATCCTGTCTCTCACCTTGGTTGGGTCGGCCGCCGATTGGTTCGCCTCTGGTAGCGACAAGTGGTGGAGGCTCTCGCACCAGGAGCTCTGCGATCGGCTCCGGCTCCGTTTCGGCGACCCCAACGAGCGTTCCACTGCGAAGAAGGCGATTCGCAACATGAACAAGCTGTCGGTGTTGGAGATCCAGACGGTCCTCGACAAGTATGCGGAGGTGTCGGGTCTGTCAGAGGGCGAGATCGCGGGCGCTATCTGGGATGCCATGTCTCTCGAAGTCTTCCAGTTCGCGCGGATGGAAAATATATCCGAGAATCTCCCGCCGTCTGAGCTCATGGCGAGCCTGTGGGCGATGCAGGAGTGGGAGAGCCGAAAGGTCACAGCGGCGCCGCCTCAACCGCAGCCGCAGCCGAGCTACAAGGCGTCGTTCTATGGTCAGCGTGCGGCTCAACCGAAGCAGCAGCCTTCCCAGCCGCAGAAGCAGCAGACCAGCGTGGTGGCGGCGGTGGCGTTCGCGGAGGCTATGGCGGCCAAGTACAACTTGTCGGCGGAGGAGCTCGAGAGACGTCGCCGTGAGCACCTTTGTTTCCGCTGTGGCTCCGGAACCCATCTCAGGAAGACATGCGGTCAGGCCCCGGCGGTGGCGGCAGTTCAAGGTGAAGCCGCGCAGGGAAAAGCCCAGCCCGACTCCCCCTGAACGCGGTAGGAGTCGGGCGATACGAAGCGTTGACACAGCAGGTGCAAGTCGCGTGCGCGGGTTCTTCTGATACCGCGATGCAGGTGCAAGCTCTTATTGACACTGGATCGGTCGCCACATTTGTGAGCCGTGCTGTAGCAAATACACTTCGTGCCCCCTCATTTCCAGTTCCAATGATCAAGTTGAGGACAGTGACGAAAGAGGAGATGAAGGTGCGCGAGGGCGTGGCGCTGCGAGTTACTTTGGCGGGCCGGCAGTTGTGGGTCCAAGCGATGATCCTGGATGGGCCGGTGGTGCCGCTCCTGTTGGGCATGGATGTGCTGGCGGCGGCAAATCCTGTCATCGATCTGGCGACTCGGACGGTGCGGTTCGAGAGCATGAAGCCGGTTCGTGTCAGAGGCAAGGGCAGTCTGGGCTCGGGCGTCATTGGCGTGGTGCAGCAGGACGAGGCTGCGCCCGCGGTGGTGGCGAAAGCGGCGGACGTGCAGAACGAGGCTAAGCCGGCGACACAGGCCAAGCCGGCGCAGGGCGAGGCTCAGCCAGCGGTGGCGACAGAGGCCGAGGTGCAGAACGAGGCTAAGCCGGCGACACAGGCCAAGCCGGCGGCAGCAGCGGAAGAGGCGAAGCCGGTGGTGACAGAGGCCGAGCCGGCGACGGCGACAGAGGCCAAGCCGGCGGCAGCAGCGGAAGAGGCGAAGCCGGTGGTGACAGGGACCAAGCCAGCGCCGGTGGCGATCCAGCGGGAAGCGTCGGAGGCGAGGTTGCCGTCGTCAGTGGTGGCGTTCCGGCGACGTCGGAAGCGACAGAAGCGGCGTATGTTTGTGCGCTTGGTCGCGGCGGCCGATGCGCTGGAGGTGGTTCTGCCCGAGGCGTACGCAGAGTTCGCTGATCGTTTTGAGCCGAGCGGACCCAAGAAGTTGCCCGTGAGCCGACCTGGTTTTGATGCGGTGATCCGTATTGACCCGTCCAAGCAGCTCAGGTGTGACCCGAACCGCAAGTTTGGCCGTAGCAAGGAGGAAGCCCTGAGGAAGTACGTGGAGGACGGCCTGAAGACTGGCATGATTGTGGAGTCCGAGTCCGCGTTCTGCTCCCAGCCCATGTTCGTCAAGAAGGGTGATGGCTGGCGCGTCTGTATGGACTCCCGGCGTCTGAATGAGGCGACGATCAGGGATCGGTACCCGTCGCCTGATGCCTTGGCGCTGATTGACAAGCTGAAGGGCGCGAAAATTTTCAGCAAGTTTGATCTCACGAGCGCGTTCTGGCAAGTGAGATTGAGCGCCGACAGTGAGAAATACACGGCGTTCCCGTGCGACGGCAAGCTGTACCAACACAGGGTCATGTGTTTCGGGTTGGTCAACGCGCCGGCGATGTTCCAGCGTCTGATTAATGAGGTCATGGGCCCGCTCTCCGCTTTCGCTGGAGGGTACTTTGACGACATTATTGTGTTCTCCAAGACGCCGGAGGAGCACGAGCTCCACGTGAAGCAGATGCTGGCTCGGCTGAGGGAGTTTGACCTGTACGTCTCCTTGAAGAAGTGCGTGTTTGGCACGTCGAGTGTCGACTTCTTGGGGCGGCGGGTCAGCGAAGCCGGAGTGGCGGTGGATCCTCGCAAGGTGCAGGCGGTCCTCAACTGGAAGCCGCCGACGGACGCGACTGGTGTGCGTGAGGTCAACGGCCTCGCGTCCTTCATGAGGCGTCATGTGCCGAACTATGCCGAGCTGGCGCGCCCGATGACGATGCTGACGCGGAAGAATGTCCCATTCGTCTGGTCGGCAGAGTGCGAGAAGTCGTTCCGCGCGATCCAGCAGGCGCTCGTCCAGGCGCCGGTGCTGGCGTACCCCGACACGTCGCGGCCGTTTGAGATTTTCTCGGATGCGTCAGATCTCGCGTTGGGTGGTGTGCTGATGCAGAGGTCGGAGTCCGGCGACGGTCTGCACCCGGTCGCCTACTACTCGCGCGTGTTCACGAAGCCAGAGATCAACTACTCGGTCTACGACAAGGAGCTGCTGGCTATCCTGGAGTGTCTCCGCGAGTGGCGACATTACGTTTGCGGTTCTGGCAAGATCACCGTTTGGTCGGACCACAGGAATTTGCAGTGGTTTACGGAGACGCGGGAGCTGACGGCGCGCGAGGCTCGGTGGTGCGAGATGCTGGGCGAGTTCGATCTGCTCATCAAGCATCTGGAGGGCTCCAAGAACGGTGCGGCGGATGCGATGTCCCGTTCGGCGTCGGGAGCCGGGCCGAAAGAGAAGCTTAAGGGCCGGGTGTTGGACCCCGAGTTGTTGGTGGCCCCAGTCGCTGGCGAGGCCGATGACGAGCAGAGCGAAGATTTCGTGTTCTCGCCCGGGGCGACTCTGCCGAGCGCGCCTACGGTCATGACGCCTACTGCCATTCGCGAGGCTTTGCAGAAGGCGGTGGCCGAGGGGGAAGAAGAAGGAGTAGAGCTTCTATCCTCCAAACGATACCAACTTCACGACGGTCTCATCAAGCGCGAGGACCGAGTGTTCGTTCCAGAACATTTACGTCCACAGATCCTGCGATACCGCCATGACGCAGCGACAGCAGGTCACTGCGGGAACCGAAAGACGCTCGAGTTAGTTCAACGCGACTTTGTCTGGCCTGGAATGAGAAAGTACGTGGAGCAGTACGTGCACACTTGCCCAGTTTGCCAGATGGTGAAGCATGCGAGGCACGCACCATACGGTCTCTTGACTCCGATTGAGGCCGCAGACAAGCCTTTCGGCGACTGGTCCATCGACTTTGTGACCGGATTACCAGATTCTCAAGGGTTTAACGCAGTCATGGTCTGCATCGATCGACTGACTCGAGTTGCACATTTCATTCCGACGACAAAGTCTGTCACGGCGGAGGAATCGGCTCAGTTGTTCCTGGAGAATGTCGTGAAGCTGCACGGCGTTCCGGTTCGTGTCTTGTCTGATCACGGACCTCAGTTCATTGCAAAGTTCTGGAAGAAGCTATGGAAGGCGATGGACATCGACCTCTCCTACTCTAGCGCGTATCATCCACAAGGAAACGGTCTTGTGGAACGGGTGAATCAAGCGCTGGAGTCATACCTGCGAGCGTACGTCAGTGAAGCCGAGGACTGGTCAAGACTCCTCTGGTTGTGCGAGTTCACGTACAACAACACGGTGCACGCGGCGATCCAGTGCAGTCCGTTCATGGCCATGTACGGTTTCCAGCCGGAAATGGATGAGATTAACTTCAAGTCGCCGAAGGCACCTCAAACGGCAGCTGATCGCGTGGAGGAACTCAAGGCACTGCGTTTCTCGTTGAGAGCGAATATTCACCGAGCAAACATGTCCGCAGCCAAGTTCTATGATCGACACCACAAGGCAGCACCTCCGATCACGGTGGGCAGCCTAGTCACAGTTCTGCGTCGCAGTCAGACGGCCGAACAACCGTATGCCAAGTTGGCGTACGTACGCGATGGTCCCTTCAAGGTCGTGAAGCAGATCAATGAGCGTGCCTTTGAGCTGGATCTAGGTGAAGCATCCAGCAAGTCCCGCACCTTCCATGTATCTGTCTTGGAATTGTTTGTCGCTGATGACGTTGAAGGTCGGATTCGGCGGGTCCTGCCTCCTGTCAAGGACTGGGACGGAACAGTTCGACATCGAGTCGAGGCGGTGATTGATTCGACTCGTCACAGCGAGATTATGTACTATCGCATCCGAAGGGTAGGCACCACTGCTCGTGAAGATACTTGGGAGCCGGCCAAAGATGTGTGGGCTCGCTTCCCCAGGGCCGTTCGTTTATTCCATCTAGCCGAACCTTCTCTGCCACAGCCTACGCGAGAGGAGTTTCACGAATGGATCGCCGTCGGTCCAGGCGAATCATGTTCAACCCACGGCTAGTCGCACGCCCGCTACCCCAGCTGGCCAAGCTCCACCTCAAGCTAGTGCGACACCCGTTGCTACGCGTTCGTGGCAGCATCCGCTTTCACGCTAGATGGTTGTAAATATAATTGATGCTTTGTAACACGATGGAAGAACAGCATACGGCTCCGGGGTCAAGTCGGCATCGGCGTTGCCGACGTCGCGTCCTGGGTCCACACCGGTGGGCCCGTCACACTCTTCTCCGCGGGGAGCCTTTCGAGTGGGTGTCAGGACCCGCAGGCTCTGCGGTCCCGACTGGGTCGTTCTTTGCTAAGAAGACTCGGCGTTGATGTCTTTGTATTGTTTGTATGCATGCATTTGGAATTGCAGTTCAGTCTGCAAAGTGAAATAAAACACTTTACAACAACATTGCCTGGCTAACCCTAACAAGGTCTTACAGTGGGTGTAAGAAAACTACAGTTTCTATATAGTGGTAGCGTGAATGACCAGGAAATCGAATTTTTGCATTTCAAAGGATCCAGATGGCAGCTGCACAACGATTGGTCTAAAGACGGCATTTGCAATTGAGTTTGTAACACACTAGTCTGATCAGGCAAATCACACCATCATAGAACGATAAAAAACACTTCAGCACATTGTTTTCAACAACAAAGAGGCGGCCAGAGTGCTCACGAGGCTGGCTGGTTTCAGTGACAACAACGGTACATTGTTGCGCAGGCGAATGCAGAATCAATGACCCCCCACACTTGCTCGCGTTTTCTTGCCATAGGCTCGCGATCGACCTGTGCATCATGTCTTGACCTGTATCTACAAGCCCCATTCATCCAACAAATCATCGAACTGGACAGAATCATCTTGATCTTTCATTCTTCCTTTTTTCCATACTTGAGAATGAGAACGGCCGCCGTCCTCGTCGTCATTGCCCTCGCCGCGATCGCGCTGGCCGAGCACGCGCATGCAGAGCGCATGTATCTCCGCAAGCACCGCCCTGCCAGCTCGTTCACCAGCCTGCAGCGCCGCCAGCTCGGCCTGGACGCACCGCGCTCGCTCGCCGCGTCCAAGCACGCCTCGCTCCTCGGTGCCGACGTCGGCGCCCAGCCCCTCGTCAACTACGACGATGAGGTCTGGGTTGGCGACATCTACCTCGGTACATCCATTGCCCTTGGCTTTTGCAGGGGGAGGGGGTTGGCCATTGCACTTTGGGATGTGGTGGTAGAATCGGAAATTTGGCTGATTTGGGAATCAACGCTTTTTGTGTTTTCTGGTTCACACAGGCACTCCGACTCAGGGTCCGTTCTCCGTCGTCTTGTGAGTCGCTGCTGCTGCGCGTTCAGTGTCAAAGCAATCCTTGTTGTATCAACTCGAGCCAGGACGCGACGAAATCAAGCAAAAAAAAAAAAAAAGAAAAAAGAAAGAAAAAAAAAAAAAGAAAAAAATCATCTGATACAGAATCAATCGATTGACTTTTTGAAGCCAATTTCTGACTTTTTGAAGCCAATTTCTGCCTTTTTGAAGCCAATTTCTGACTTTTTGAAACCAATTTCCAATTTCTGAACGAAACAGCAAACTCACCACCCCCCCTTTTGTTTTGAAACTCTGATTCCATGCTGCTCAACCCGCCACCGCCCTTTTTTTTTGTTTCTTATGAAACAGCGACACTGGCTCTTCCGATCTGTTTGTGCCGTCCGTGAACTGCGGCGGGGAGGCGTGCGCCAACAAGACCCGCTTCTCGGCCGTCAAGTCGAGCTCGTACATTCCCAACGGCAAGCCCTTCTACGTCGTCTACGGCACTGGCTATGTTGCCGGCACGGAGGGCAACGACACTGTTTCCGTCGGTGGCCTGCAGGTGCCCGATGTCGCGTTTGGCGAGGCGGATGTTCTGGCAAAGTTTTTTGAGAACGAGCCGCTCGATGGCATTCTTGGTCTGGCCTTCCAAGACATTTCCACCGTCCACAACCCCACAGTTGCCGACCGCATGGCGCAGACCGGCGTCATCTCGTCGAACATGTTCTCCTTCTACCTGTCCAGCACCGACGGCGACAAGACCTCGTTTGTCGATTTCGGCCACATTGACTCCAACTATTACACTGGCAAGATCACCTACGTCAACGTGTTCATTTCGTCCTACTGGCTCATTGGCATGCAGAGCATCTCGATCAACGGCACCAAGGTCCACGACTGCGCCCTCGACTACTGCCTCGGTGTGATCGACACTGGCACGAGCATCATTGCCCTGCCCTACGGCAACAAGGCCGTCGTTGACGCCATCCCGCCGGTCTTTGCCAACTGCACCAACATTGCCACTTTGCCCACGCTGACCTTCACCCTCGGCGGCCATCCGTTTGATCTCTCGCCCGAGTACTATGTCATCCGTGACACTTCCACCGGCACCCCGCAGTGCGTCCTTGGCATTGAGGTTCTTGTTGAAACGACTCCGTGAGTATTTGGAATCATTCATGCTGGATTGGTTGACAACGGCGCAAGGCAGGGCCGATTGCGGCGGGGGATGACTTTGACTAACTGGACAATGTTGTGCCTGTTTTTTTTTTTTTTTTTTTTTTTTTTTTTTTTTTTTTTTTTTTTTTTTTTTTTTTTTTGGGCGTTTTTCATCCTTTCTGTCAGGTTTTACATTCTTGGCGGTACGCAATCACACGCTATGACAGCGCGCGAGCATGGCTAGTTTGGTTTGATTTTGTGTCTCATTCTTTTCTTCATTTCCTCCCCCCCTCCAAGACAGATCCCTTCCTCCGCGCCTACTTCTCAGTGTACGACAAGTCTACCACTCCTCCTCGTGTCGGTCTGGCTCCTTCTCGCCACCCTTAAACCGAAAGGCGCACGTCGCTGTCCTAGCGCCGCCCGGTCGATGCCGCATTGATTTTGACACAGGTTGGGTTGTTTTGGCGACTTGGTTGTCGTCGATGTCGCAAGATGTGCATGGAAATAAAAGCCCGGAACAACACGCCTCCACTGATGCACCACAATAGTGTGTGTTGATTGCGCTTGTTTTGAATGCCACTTGGCCAGCTGTGTTTGTACCAAAAACCTGAACCGCAGAGGACACGGCTACAAAATCAATCATGCGAACAAGATGGTGAACGAGCTCGTCGAGATTGATGGACAAAGTTTCGACCTGGAGTCGACTGTCGAGGGTATCGGGCGAGGTTCACCCGTCCACGAATCCCTCAGTGCCTATGGTTGAATCTCTGATGTATTCATATCATTGTAATGAACCTGTCCAGAAGGAGTCGGAAGGAAAGTCGATCAGGGGGGTCAGAGTGAGAATTTTACTGCTCCTTTGCCTCTCCCAGGCCTCTCCCCGTCGCCTCTCTGACCACAACGCACGACCATAGATTGATACATGTTTTTGTACGACATGTACCGACAAAGTTAGGCCCAAATCAGTGTTTGTTTGTTGATTTCCTGCCACCTGTGATATGGTGGAGGATCGTCGCCAATCGCTCTGGCGGCCGTACCCCGTCGCACGGCTGCCGCAGCTCACGGCACACATTGTCGAGGACCACCCCACGCCCGGATGCGCGACCGTCACGCTCACGTCGTCGGACGAGGCCGCCGTGCCGTCAAGCTCGTTTGTCGCTGACTTTGCGACGCTGGCCAAGTGCGACCGCGGCCGCAAGTGCCTCGCTTCCATCCAAACAATGCTGCTCGAGAACCAGCCAGCGCACTTGCAGCTGCTCTTCCGCGTCATGGCAGACAGCCCGCACAAGACCAGCTACGCCGCCTGGGTCGCGACGGGCGAGGCCATCCTTGCAGACATGGATGCTGCATCTGCCGCATCTGCCTCCTCCTCGACCACAACCACGGCTCAAGAGACACAGGCTCAAGGAACGCAGGCTCAAGGGACACAGCCGCTCCCTCAACTCGACACCCCATCGCCGGCAGTTGTGGCCGCGAGCCTCGCCACTCCGACGACCGAGCTGCTCGCAGCATCGCCCACATCGTGGTATCCACACAGCCGCACGCTCATTCGTGTCAAGAGACCCGGAGAGTTTCTCCTGAGCAAGAATCATGGTAATTGGGACGACGGCATCGAACGCTCGTACGCTGACCTGGCATTGATGGCCTTGCGCGTGCTCGCCTACTACTGGCACGCCGGCCGTTTACCATTCGATCGCTACCTCATCCAGACTGCGGATGTTCCTACTCAAATGATGCTCTTGGGGCGCGATGTCGCTCCGAAACAGATGCTCGCTGAGATTGTCGAAGGCCTCAACCAGCTCGGTCTGCCCTTGGACGAAGGCATGATCGACGGCACAAACGAAGCGCATGATGCGTACGCTCTGCCGCATTTGCGCCTCTACCCGCGATTCGACTGGGACGAGTGGCAGACATACCAGCTGACCTGCCCCCTCCTCGTCCGGCACCTCTTCCTGGCTGTCTGGCACGGTGACATCCCCAGCCTGAGACAGAAGCTCGGCGAGCTATCGGCACTTGTTGACAGCGGCGCTCCGCTGCTGCGCCAGGCGCTGCCGAACCTCCCCTTCAGTCAAAGAGCGACATCCCGGCTGCGGAAGTGTTGAGCATTATCGTCCAGCGAGTGTGTTTTGATGACACGCCACTCGATGAGCGCTCAAGGAGGTGGTGGTATTATCTGCCCAGGAGCAAGACTGACGCTGACCGCACGCTCGCCTCTGTGCTGACCGGCGAGCTACTCACGAGTTGCATTTCGCGCTGCCAAACCAACGCTGTCACGCTCCTGCATCTCGCGGTGCTGCGGCGCCATGCTGATGTGATCCGCATCCTGGTGACGGAGTGCGGCATGCCCGTCGAGCTCGGCCTTTGGGCCGCAGTGCGGTATGGCCTCGTCGACATGGCCCGGCTGATGGTGGAACTTGGGGCGACACCGACCCGTTTTCTTCTTGATGGGGTCGTTCGCAACCTCGACTGCGACATGCTCCGGTTCCTTGTCGCGGCTGGCGGCGTCGTCACGGCCCGGGAGCTCACCGTGTACACCCTTGAGCACGACATCCCACGCGCTGACTTCCTTCAGGCGTTGCTTGAGCTCGGCGCGCCCATCGACGCTCAGGTGCCGGCTCGGTACTATAATCCGACTTCTGGACAAAGTACAAGACCACATCTCGTCGATCTGCTGCCTCGCCTGGCAGCCAAGAGTACGCGCATCGTCCCGCTGCTTCTGTCATACGGGGCGCGGAGAGGAGCACGAGCTGCACTGCAACACGCTCTCCTCGCACGCGATCTGGAGGTCTTCCGACTGCTGCTGCAATCCATCCCCATATCCGAGCTTGATATGCATCTGTGGGCCGAGTTAACTCCCCAGTGGCTGCCCGTGACGCCATCCAGGCCAATCTCGCCAGCTGAGTTTACCCGTTTCATACTCGCGGTCGTCGAGTACGGGCTGCCATTGCCCAACGCCCTTCCCGCTGCCGACGGAACGGAGTTTGACTTGTTCGCCAACCGCAAATCGTACGACCTTGCTGGACTCTCGGACACCGAGAAGAGCATTTACCGAGGTGCGCAGTTCGCTGCGTCTTCCGTTGCCTTCAGCGAGGACACTGCGGCCATTCGCATGCTCATTGACCACGGCAACGGCGCACCCTGGCTTTTGTTGCTTTGTGCGTCTGTTCGGCCTGAGTGCCCCGACCAGTTGCTCTGCCAAAACGTTGAGCTGCTTATTTACGCCCTGTCGCGACTGGAGCACGATGCGGCTGCGCTTGTGAGCGAGTTGTGTTTGCTCGAAACAGCTTGCGAGTTACGTTCGGCCAGTTGTGTTCGACTTTTGCGGGTACTTGGCATTCCAGCCAACAATAGCCGAGCAGAATTACTTGCCCGGTTTCGCGCTGCGGTCGCGGGCCAGCGCCGTCGTGACAAGAAGCGCGGCGTGCCCGAACGTCCAGTGACGGAAATGCTGATGGAGCCTTGGGCGCAAGTCTGGATTGCCATGCGTGAGTGCTGATGAGTGAGCATGCCGCTGGTTGACATGGCTTTGGGCGGTTGTGCTGTTTGCTTGCTGACAACGAGGGCTGCTTTGCTATTTTTGTTTTTTTTGGCAGTCACTCCCCCAAAGATGTCGCTGTTGAATAGTGCTCGCCGGGCGCTCTTCCGCGCGCCGCAGCCGTTGCGCCGGTTTCTGCATGATGACGCCCAGCATACGTTCGGCGATTTGTACGAGCCGATTCCGCCGTCGTCGGAACTACTCACGGAGGCACGCGTGGATGTATGAGGTGCGCCTTTTGGTGCTCTCTGGAGCTGTGAATGTGAAGATTGGCTCTTTTGTTTGGTTCAAAAAGGTAAACATGAGGCGAGCCACGCGGTCACCCGTTTGGTGGCTGTTGAGCCTGCTGGTCGTCGCCCGGGTCTCCTCTGGGCAAGAGCAAGCCGCATGCACTTTCTGCACGTGCGTCGGATCGCCCGTTATCGAGGTCAAAAATTGCAACGACGCACTCATCACCATTCCCTCCAATATTCCGACCACGGTGAAAAACATGTAATTTTTTGTTAACAAAAGAAAAAGAAAGCATCGAAACGTTGTTGAGTTGATTGCAGCTCAACTCGATCATCCTGGTGGACAGGTGGATTGATAACACGTTCATTCGGTTTATTCGACCCGCTGCATTCCGTGATCTTTCTTCGCTGACTGTGCTGTAAGCCTGAGATTTGATCTGGCATGTTTTATGGAAAGGCAACTGACTTGCACTGGTTTGAACGCTTTTTGTTTTTATGTGTTTTTGTCAACCTAAAAAGCGGCTTGTATGGGAACCAAATTTCGGTCATCCCTGCCAATGCTTTCTCCGGTCTTGTGAGTTTGAAAGTTTTGTAAGTGATCGTTGCCCACGGGTTGCCTCCTTGCCAAGGTTTGGAGCGATCGCTGCTCATTCTGTCGCCCGCTTTGCAGGGACTTGCGCGAAAATGGCATTTCCGACCTGTCCGCGAGAGCGTTTACAGGCCTTTCAGCGCTGACATTACTGTACGATCATTGCGCGTGTTGATGATGTTTTGATGATGAGACCTGCATCAATGAGAGCAGCTCACTTTGCTCAATGTGATTCAGCCAATTGTCTTGGACCGGTCTCACAACGGTTCCGCGCGGAATGTTGGCTGGCCTTACTTCTCTGCAACGTTTGTACGCTAGCCGTGTCTTTGATGAATCAACATTTCGCGAAGGGGGACAATCCTAACTCTCGCGTCTTGACAACAGGGAATTGCAGAACAACTTGCTTTCTACCTTGCCTCCTGGGTTGTTCCAGAATCTGTCTGCACTTACACAAGTGGATTTGTCAGGGAACTCGTTTGGCGCGGTTGCCCCTCCCAGCACGTACCGAGTCTTAACCAGCTTGAATAGTAAGGCATGCATGGCGTTGCCGTGTTTCGACCTGTTTGTCAAATGTTAACTGTTTGTCACAATTTTTGCCTCTTAGAGTGTAGCACGAGGTGTGACACTTGCTACGGAGCGGGCCCAGATGCATGCTGCGCCACGTACTGCCTCTCATGCAACTCGACCAATTGCACATCGTGCTATGTTGGTTCTGTCATGGTGGACGGTGTTTGTGGCCCGCCGGCACCTCTTCAGATCATTGCTGCCAGCTTCCCCGCCACAGCTTTGGAAGGCAACGAAATTCAAGGAGTTATTACCCTCCACAATTATGGGAATACCTCGTTGGACAACGTTAAGTTGGGAATGTACCCCGGGTACGGTCTGCAGCTGGACCTGTATGATCAGCAACAAAAGCCTGTGCCCTATCTGCTGCAAGCTGAAGTTCAACAGGCGATAACTAGACTTGCATCGGAGACATCGCTTGACGGGTATATCGACGATATCGGACAAGTTTCCCTTGCTGCAGGTCAAACTCTGGCATTCCCTGTCAAGTTCGTTTTTCAAGGTCCCGCGTTTCCCCTTCTCTTTTTCTCTCGTTACGACGCTTGGTCTCTGCTCGTCCAAGATACCAGCAACTCTGTCGGTGTGATTTGGCGGATGGAACGTGAGTGAAAGGCTTTTTGTTTTTTTTGGTTGTTCGTTTGTTGTTGTTGCTGGTCGTTTCTTGCCGAGTTCGAATTGCTGACGCGTTTCCTTTACGTTTCTCTTTGCAACGCTATTCTTGTTGGCCAATCAGCGCAAGAAACCAACATTGCCGTTTCTCCAATCGCCAATGATGCTGAGCTTGTTTTGTGGCTGCACACTGGCGATCAACGAGATGCCTGAACTCATGCTTCGGCGGCCGCT